CACATTCAAATAAAGTCGAAACTTAATGAAAAAAATGGATTTTAAAGACTTGATTTGTGCCTAGGGGTATTTGTAAAATTGTTTGAAAAAGATGGGAAATATAAAAGTGAATATTAATGACCAAAACAATTTCTAATCTTTACCATAATATAAAGAATATTAAAAAATGTATTACAAACCAAATTCCTTATTTTTGAGATTTTATATACATTTATTTGATTTTTTTTTTAAAATACCGGCCGATCACCAAAACCGCCCGAAACTAGAACCGGCCAGTGGCCGGTTCCGATCTAATCGGGCGGTTACCGGTTAGATCACCCGGTTTTTCCAACATGGCTTTGACCAATTGTGCCTTTGTCTTTGATTCTTCTCTTATTGATGGAAGACAAAATGATTGACAAAGGTCAGCGAGTCTACTCGGAATTGAGAAATTTGCAATCAGAGAATGAGTAAGTGGAAACTCCTTCCCAACTTGAAATGAGGAGATGTGTCTGTGTGAATGGAGGGGCAAAAGATTGGATAGAATACCCCTGGCGGGAAATACTCTCTCGAAATGCTTGTAATTGTTTGGACCTGAAATACGCCAATCTCAAGTCAAGTGAAAATTACTTGACCGCAGCATTTTACATTAGGAAAATGTTTATATAGAGCCGAGGCTCTAAACAATGAAATTAGAGCCCACCACAAAATTTTACTAAAAGAGGTTATTTTGATGCCCAAATATACTCAAATTGATCATCTGACCATCAAGATGCATGGGCATGAGAAAAAAATGGATTTCAAGTATTAGAAATAATGCATCTTGTAACGCATTTTTTGACTGTCAAAATTCAAGATTTTCAAGATTCATAGATCTGCTTGATCTACGCTATTTTTTAAGCTTCAAATTTTATAACTAAAGATGAAAATATATTTTAAGGCTATTTCAAAGATTTCCAGTATTGAAACCACATTTCTCAACACTATTTGAAGGTGCGCTTTAATTTGATTGTTTAGAGCCTCGGCTCTATACAAACTGCACCCTTTGCATTATTTAACCAAAACTAAGGGCCAGTTTGGATGTCAAGTAAAAAAACCTTCACATTGAAAAAAACTGTAAGTTTTTTCATCCTTAATTAAGAAACCTTGCCATCTTTTTTTTATTATTATGCTGGACTGTTTGGATGGACTGAACATACTAAAAGCATCGTTCGATCCATAGGTAATCCATCATCTTTGACTTCGAAAGAACAAAAAATCTCAACTTTTACTGTAAATTCACTAAATTCCTCTGTAAAAATTGCCAGATCTGAACTAGATCCATCTACATTAAGTGTTACAGAACCAAAGCCGTCATCTTTAAGTATTTTGCCGGATAAAGAACCAGAACCATTAGCTTTAGCCAGGAGTGGATCAAATACTTCTCTGACCCTAGAAGCTTCAAATTTCTCTGCTTTGTTGGTCAAAAAAACAAATATGCCTCCTTCAACACCTAGAAATCTCACTGATTCTTTGCAAATCACCAAACTTCGCCTTAATGGAACTTCTTTAACAATATAGCAACCTGATCCTCATTCCACAACTATAAATGAATCGTATCCATTGGCTTCCTTAGAAAGCAGATCTGATTCACCTTCTATTGTGTCAGAGCTCCAATTCAGAAACTGGACAATGGAGGTAACAAAAGTCACTTTTCACAAGTGGTTCTGTCAGTGATTCTTATGCTTACTCTTCTTATAGTAACCAAGAAGCTTGCTTTGGGTTTCACTGCAATGGATTTTCTCTCCTATTTTCTCAAATTCATAGTGAGGACCTTTGGTTATAACTAGCATTATTGTGGTTTTTTAAGAGAGAAAAATGAAAATTATCTTTTTATTCAGAGAGAGAGTAGATTTGGGGTTTCGGAGGTTTCATTGAGTTGTTGGGTCACGGGTTGAGGTTTGCACGGAGGTGAAAGAGCCGCACTTTCATAAAAAAAAATTCAAGTTTGATTTGAATTTTTTTTTTTACGGTAACTTTTGTGTTGACAATGCAGTTTTTTTTGTTTCAATCTAAAACTCTAACAAAATCTTGAAGTTGTCCAAACGGTTCAAATCTGTTTCACAAGATTTTTGGATTACAATAAAAAAATATTGCAATTTTGGGTACATCCAAACTGGCACTAAAATATTTATTTGAATGAGGATTTTGGCTGGGTGATAGTTTGTGTTGATATTAATCCTATAAAACCAGAACTATGTAATTTTCATTTTTTATCAAAAGTGATATGCACAAGACATTAGTGGTAGATTAGAATTTGAACTTTGACCATGTTTCTCTCAATTCCTTCCCGTCTACTCTGGGCTTTAAATATATATCACCCATCACAGTAGTCATTTTCTAGGAGTCCCCTATTCTTACTATCTGGTATGTGCCTGTTGCAACATCTTGGTATGTCCCATATACTTAACATGTGCACAAACACATTAATAATATTTACTTTGGACTGCATAATTGCTGACTGATCTTATTGTTCTCCAATTCTGTCTGCTTTCAGGAAACCAGTTAAAAAGGTTGGAGCTTTTTGTTGGCTCTCACTTGCGATTTGTATAGTGGAGCTTCTAATCTGTATCAAGTTTGGCCATGGTGGGTAACACAGAGATCTCTCAGTAATTGTTCCTTTTATCTTAGGAGGGTAGAAGCTCGACTTTTTCATGGGATTTTTCTGGATTCTCACAAACTCAAATTTTGCAGGACTCTATCTCAACCCGATGCCTCGATGGTTGGTTGTCTTATGGGCCTCGATTGCTTCTTCCCTCTTATTATTCCTGATTGTTTGGTCGTGGCATCTCCACAGATCTTCTCAGAAAAAGGCGGTATGAATTCATGTGTCCATTTTCTTTCTGCCATTTTTTCTATTTTCCTTATGTCCTAATAATCATGTGCATATAATTTTTAGTTTCACAATCTGTAAATGCCTGCTTTTTAGCTTCCTTGAAAACAAAGGTCTCATTTGTTAAGGAAAGGTGTTGATCTTGGAGTTTGGGTTGTGTTATTGTAGTTATTGTGACATTGTTTATGAGAAAGTAATCTTTCGCTGAAGTATATGAGAAATTTTTATCATATTCATGGTGTTCATGGGACTTCATCCATTTTGGGCTAATATGCATTCCCTCACGTTATTTAATGGGAAAATAACCATCTTAATTAAATAGATCGCTCCTCATAAATAAGGCTTTCATTGAATTTTTCCTTATTTAGCAATGATTAGCAGAAGGTTGCTGAATTTTTGTGTATGAAACCCTGGACGATTTCACCCTATAAAAACCTGTTAAATTTAAATTTTTGCATTGGTTTTCAATAAATTGGTACATTCGAGCAAGAATTCCATGATAGTTATTTCTTGCATTCCTTTTCCTGTGAATGTTAATATCTATTTGGTGTCTTGTTGAGTTCCTTAGTTGTTTTTACATATATCGATTATTTGATATGCGACAAGTAACTCTCATATCATCATCATTGTCAAAGCTTTTTCCTAACTAATTGGGGTCTGCTACACAAATCCTGATCCACCATTATGCTTTATTAAAGGCTATACCCTCAGTGAGGCAATAAATCCCTATATTTTTTCTCATTGTTTCCAACCATGTCCTTTTAGGCTTACCTTTTACCCTTTTTGGGCCTTCCACTTGAACGAACTCGCACCTCCTAATAGGTGTTGTACTGCGTTTGTGCCACACATGGGTAGTTCACCGAAGTTTACTTTCTCTCATCTTATCGCTTATTGGTGCCACACCTAAATTCTCCTGTATGTATTCATTTCGAATTCTATCCCTTTTTGTCTTGCCACTCTCCCATCTCAACATCCTTATCTCAGCTACACATATTCTATGGGCATGTTATTTTTGATCACCTAACATTTAGCCCCATAAAGTAAAACTGGTCTTAAAGCTGTCCTATAGAACTTGAAATTAACTTCATTGATATGCGGCGATCACATAAGCTCCAGTTGCATATCTCCATTTCACTCATCCAACTCTAATTCTATATGCGACATCTTCCTCAATCTCTCTATTTTCATGGATTATTGACCCAAGATATCGGAAGTGTGCTCTTTTTTGTATTTCTTCGCCATCAATCTTAACTACTTCATTGTCTCTACTCTTATTATTACTAAACTTGCATTCCATATACTGTCTTAGTCCGGCTAATTTTAAAACATTTAGATTCTAGAGTATCCTTTCAAAGTTCTAACTTTGTGTTGATGCCATATGAGACGTGCTTCATATGTTATTATTAATTTGAGAGCATGAAGTATATTGGTTCTTTCTGGGAGTATGAATTTAAATAATTAAATGAGTTGAACCTCCTCTAGTTTTGCTTAGGTGAAAACATTATGGAGTCCTGCTGAATACAAGCTAACCAACTCAATTAAAAAAGAAGCAAAAGGGAAAATGATATAGATAACTAATGTTATGTTGAGATGTCTATGAAGACAACAGAATCACAAACCGTATTCTGTTTTGTTTGGGACTTACAAGAACGGTAGCTTGTTAACAAATGCTTAAATTCAGAAATTTGGCACTTGGCACCTACCTTGGACTATTGACATTTAATAAACACAATAATTGCAGCAAACAATTGAAATCTGTAGTAGGCTCTAATCTATAACTTCTAAATCTACATACATCTTATTGGTCCTTGAAAGAAACTATTCAAGAAGAAAATGGTATGATGGAGAACTTCTTTCTCCATGTAGTCCTACCCCTGACAATTTCCTCATTCTTTGTTTCACCTTTGATTTGGAGAAGATGGGTATAACTTAATGGCCATGCATGAAATGGTCCCAAGATCCCATGCCCCTCAAGAATTTGAGGTGCCAATGGGTAGCCTCCAAATAAATCCACGCTCTCCCCTTCTGGTTTCGGATTCTCATCAGGTTCGCATCGTGATTCAACCACATCTGAGCTTCCGCACTCTCTTCTATACTCTAGTACAATACTGGAGAGTTGGTGGGTCTCCAAGAATGACTCTGGAATTGTCTGAATACAAAAAAGAAAATGCTTGATGAGGAAACAGTTGTACTTGAGAAGCCTGGCCTCTCTGGTTTCTCTTGCTTACTATTTGGCTTCTTGCTCTCTCTTGCGTGTGTGTGTGAGTAAGAGACAGAGAGAGAAAGAGAGAGAGACACTCTGTCTGTGTGTGTGTGTGTGTGAGAGAGAGAGAGAGAGAGAGAGAGAGAGAGAGAGAGGAGGAGGGAGGGGT